GGTCTCCTGAGTCCGGGCCAGGTGCCCCTAGTATAAAGGAGCTAAACTCCGACTCCCAGATTAAAAAAAAAAAAGTAATATAAGGCAAAATAATAAATTTCGAAAGTAAAATACATGAAACTCATTTTTTTAAAACATAAAATTGCATAAGCTTATTGACTCTAAATTTTCTTGCAATATAAAAATATATATACCTAAAAACTATATATTTTAGTAAACGTGTCATTGCCATATGCGTGTCCTATATTTTTAGAAAATAACGTATCACCGTGTCTATGTCGTGTCATCCGTGCTTAGCTTAGGGTGGCTGTGTAGAAAATATGGAAATTTCCATTGAAACCACCCACTTTGACCAATACTCGTAAATCTTTAACTTCTGCTGAATTTGAAACCATACCAAAATGCTTGGAAGTTGGTAGAAAACCAGAAAACTTCAACATAGAGACTGAATTTGAGGCATAAACGCATAATGGTTGAAACAAAGTGATGAAGTAATGATCATTATATTAAAGGTGATAATCCTCAATTTTATTTGTGTGTACCTCAGTTACTTTACTACATGGAAAATAATTTGAGATTAGTTTTAACTATTCAACACGAAAGCATGGATATATCATATTAGAGTGCTCAATGTCTGTTTTTCATGGAAGTAGAAATTAAAATAAGCTCTGTTCTTCTTTTATAAACAGATCTGAAGCTGTGATATACTAAACTGCTGGAAATCTGTAAAAACTAACTGATGAGAAAAGAAGAATAAGAACACAAACAGATCTGGGGCCTAACTGTGAATAACAATCAACATTTCTCCTTGTAGATCACTGCTGTTCTTTTATAAGTTTTCAAGCTTGATTTGTTCATGTTTTCCCTCTTAGAATTGTATACAACTTGTCTTGTTCTGAAAAATTACCTGGTTACTATTACAATGAAAACTTCTTTTCTGCATAGACCTTACGAGCATTATTTAAGTCCATTAATTTGATTGTTAATTTGTAGAATGGGGAAAATATGGTTGATATTCAAAGAAGGGGACATCCATGATAGGAAAGAATTTATGAGTTGGAGAGGATGATAACATTTGTATCCTTTCTTGTTTTGTGAGTTTCCAAGAAAGATACATGTCATAGATCGATCATGCATCGAATTTACCACGTTGTTGAGGATATATATGAACAAATGAAGTACATCGAAATAGTTTTAGTGGTAGTGGAGACACGGGATAGGATGTAGGATAGAGTGTGAGTAAACTTTGTAAAAGTATGTTGAATTTGAGAATGTGAGAGGCTAGTCGGTTTATGAGATAGGTAGCAGTTATAACAGCTTCACTCCAAAAGGTTTTTGGAACATGTGATGTGAGAATTAGGGATTGGGATACATCGAGAAGATACAATTTTTACGTTTAACTATACCATTTTGTTGGGAGTGTGTCATTGAACAATACCATAAGATTGAAGGTAGGTCCAAAAGTAGATTTGAAAAAGTCACGAGAATTGTCAGTTAGTTTTAAGTACTTTAATATTTACTTGAATTGATTTTGGATCATTTTATGGAAGACTGTAAATAGGTGCTAGTTTCAGATTTATCTTTTATAAGAAATGACCAACTAGACCAAGTGTGATCATTAACGAAGAGAAGAAACCAACGTGCTCCATTGATATTGTTTACTCTTGAAGGTCCCCAAATGTCTCCATGAATGAGAGAGAAAGGTTGAGATGGAGAATAAGCATGAGGTGAAAAATGAGTTCGTGTGTGTTTGGAGGGTTGACAAATTTCACACTGAAAAAACTGACTCTTTTTGTTGAGAAATAAAGAAGGATCAGAAGTATAAGCAGGCTCGCGATGAGATCAAACTGTAGACTCATGATGAGACGGAATTGCAAGTTTACTGCTCTCCATCATTGGTAGAAGACTCGTTGCTTGAAGAAGATACAACCTTGCACATAATTTAGCATTGTCAATCATCTTCTCCGATCCCACATCTTGAAAAATACAAGAGTTGGTAAAGAATTTAGTTTCACACTTCCAATCCTAGTTACTTTGGCAAGTGTACCATAAGTAATATGAACAAAAAAATTACCCGTATAAAAAGAAAATGATGAGAACAAGGATCCATCACCAGTCATATAAATGATGCTCCATAGTCCACTATCCATTCCAATGGAAGATTTTGAGTATGGAGAGCTAGGGGATTTTGGTTACCTTGGTGGGGCACATTCCCAGAACCAGTTACTATTGGTGGATTTGTTTTGTTCAATAGTTGTTATAGTATGTCCAACAAATCTTTCGTAAGTGACATTGTATAATAAGTAAGAGGAAAAAAAACCAATTAGGTCACACTGTCTAGAAAAAAATAGCGACGGTGACAGAGACGGTGACGCAATCGACAGTCGAGATGGGTTGATGTGCATCGACTAGGGTATTTTTAGGAAGGATGCACGAAACCTAGGGTTTTACCATGAAAAAGTGAGTGACAACGATTAGTCTTGGGAAGAAAGCTAGTCTGGCGACAATGCTAGGGTTCTGATGACGAGGTTAGAGGAAATCAAAACTCTGTTGACATGAAGCTTTGTATAGGAGAAAGGCTTTTCTTATTCCTTAAATGGTGCGAAATGCTTACATTTATACAAAAGTCTCTTAACTATATAAGTTAAGACTAATCAAGTAGTTAGTTAAGACTAAGCAAGTAGTTTACAAGTAACAAAGAATCCTAACTCTAAGTTGAACCAATTTAGCTTAATTTTCCACAGAAACTTTGGGTTTTCACATTAAAAGCAAAAGCAGAAGTATTTGATGGCGTCCAACAATTGAAAATTCTTGTAGAAATCAGACCAACATAAAATAAGGTGATCCGAATAGATAATGGGCTTGAGTTCTTAAATGAGAACATTATATCCATGAGTAAAAAGGGAGGAATTCAGAGACACCTTGCAATACCTTATACTCCACAGCAGAACAGACTGGTTGAGGTATAACAGAACAATTTTTGTAAAGAGCTCGTTGCATGTTAGCCAATGCAAAATTGCCTAAATATTTTTGGAGAGAGGAACGTTAGTACAAATTGTGTTTATGCAAGGATATGCACAACAGTGTGTTCCAGATTGTAGCTCGAACTCGGCCTCCGGACCGACCTGAACACTTGGGCGGACCTGCACAAAAAGGTGAGCACTCCGACGATCAAGTCAGTATAGGTCGGATTCCAAGTTTAGTTCGAGGCCAGAAATCGTCGTACCTGATCGGGGAGTGAGGTCCTCTACTTATGGGTGGTAGTCCCGCTAATCTCGCGACGGTTACATTCGGTAATCTCGGGACCGTCGGTTACACCCGGTAATCTCGGGACCGACGGTTACGCCCGATAATCACGCCGCCGACAGTTGCTCACATCAGCCCCTACCGAGCTCCCCGGTAGGTCAGACCTGGGCCAGGTTCACCTCGGCCCTCATACTTACTTAGCATTTGTCGACGTTAGTGGCGGCCATCTCGACTATCCGAGCTGGGCATGACTCATGAGCAATCTTGGAGCACCAATAGGGGTCCTCCACGTGTCCAGGGTATTCCCTTCCCCAAACAAATTGCATGTTAGCATTAAATTTGAAAACTCCTCAAGAATTATGAATTGGAAAACCACTCACTCTTAAGCATCTAAAGGACATAAGTGTATTTTTCTGGGTTACCCAAAAGCGATCAAAGGCTACAAGTTATGGCTACTAGGAGAATCAAGGTGTATAATCAGTCGAGACATGAAATTCGATGGATTCGAGATGCCATGGCAGAGTACAGGTAGTCTAAACTACAATAAAGGAAAGGATGTAGACTCAGATTCTTTTGGAATAGAACTGGAAACAGCAGACTCCCTTGCATGTAATATCTCTCTGTATCTTCTTCCTATTATTCAGTAAAGAATATAGACCAAAATGGTCCAACCACTATAACTCGATTGTGTAATCTCCATTTCTCTTCTCTTAAAAACCTTGTAACCACTGAACTTTGTTAACCTTCTCGATTTAGTCCACTTAAATTCATCACAGCTACTGTTTTCGTGCAACTATATTAAGCTGGTTTTTTTTTCACATTGATGAATAAAGGAATTGAGCGTGTTTTTTCATGCTAAATTGATCCGAAATCTTTCATATAGGGTAAACTAGAATCATCACACTTAATTTGTAGAAACTCGTACCAGCAAAATAAGAAAAGTTGTAGTAGAAGTTATAGTAAAAAACAACATAACACCACCAGAAATCACCAATTTCAGTTTTTGCTACTTATGATATTACAAATAAGTGATAATTGGATCCATTTACTTCAAAATAATCACATAAGCTCTGAGCTACCACTAAGGTGGGAATTCGAATCCAAAACTTTTTGATGAAAACTCAAATCGAGAGAGAATTTAGAAATATTGCATTAGCCTTCAAGGAGATTACAGAGACCTATTTATAGGCTTTATTGCACCTAACAACAGAAAACTATTTCCAGAGAGCTAATAGAGTTTTTAAAACTAAACAAAAGGGTCGTTAACCAACAACCACAAACTAAGGCAATCAGCTAACTCACTACATCACGTTTTGATCTGAATATATGCCTTATCCAGTTGAATTATGCTCAAGTTGGCAATCAATATCACCCTATAAACTTTGAAAGATAAATTGCAGAGATATTATTATGATGAGGGGGCTTCTAGAAGCGGCCATGAATGTCATACTTCAATTCCCAGTTTGTGTGTTCTCATCTCTTCATAGAATTACTCTTTAATTCTCTGGTGCAGTCATTATTATTATTACTTATTCATTTATTTTTTATATGTAATGAAATATTCCATGGATTATTGTAAAATACAAAAGGAGGTAGAGAAAAGCCAACCCAAAGTCAGTTACAAGAAAGCCATACAATTAGCCACACTATCACTAAGGAGAGTAATTACAAACCAAAAAAAAAAAAGGAAAAAGAAAAAGAGAAATGATCTTACAAGACTCTAAAGGTAGAAGGAAGGACAGGGAGAGAGAGAGTGAAACCACGAAAATGTATAAAAATGCACACTGCTTAGAAGTAAGTTGTCCAGAGAAAAAGAGATAGTGAATTCTAAATTTTCTTTTATTTGATATTTTATAACTAGTTTTTTAAAGTAGAGAAAATAGCAGTACCTAATTTCTTAGCTTCTGGTCATATATGAAGTAGATTATCAACCATTTTTCTTTCAGATGCATATAGCATATGCAGACCACATTGTTGCACATGGAATAGTTCCTCCTGGTTGGTGCTAACCGTACACTTCAAGTAATTGCAGCACATCCAAGGGACATTAAATTCTGTAAGTGGTATGTAGGAGACCCAAATGAATGACGACGCATATCTACTCAAAAGCTTTTCTGTAGAAACAAACATGTGATGCTCTGGTTCAATTTCATGAGAATCAACTCCAAATTCACATTTAAGATCCAACACTTTGACGCCCTCGAGTTTTGCTATCGGTTTGTTTAGACCACCACAGCGCACACAAGAACTCCTACTTCGCATTTAGCAAAATACAATCTCTCCGGTGTCCTTACTCTTCCTTTGTTTCCCGTGCTTTGACTGGTGAAAAAATCTGGGATTTCTTTTCCATCAGTAATGAAACTGAGCTTACTTTTGTACCGGTGTTCCTGTAAGAACAATATGCAATGCAATCAAGTATAAAAGTAATCAAATTCTTTCGTAGAGGGAAAGAGAGGGAGAGAACCTGGGGAGAACTCTTATGTTCGCCACTTAGATTAGTAGAAGTAGAAGTTGAAGTTGTTGATGGGTTTGCAGGGACTCGAATCCGAATAGGCCGATGATATGTTGTTAAAAAGTTCCTCAAAATTGTCTGATTGTAGTTCTGATAGCATTCTTGTCCACTCTTTATTACACAATCCATGATTGTGTTGATAAGCCCCTCCACATTGTGTTGGTAAACTAGACGAGCCCCACATGACTCAACTCGCAATCTTGTAGGAATACTTATGAAACTGACATAAAAATGATCCAGTCCAGTTTGAACATAAGGAAACACATGTCGTGGTGCGAAAGTCACAAAGAGAATTTGAGGTGAAGTTTGTAACAACGATAGAGGGATTAAAAAAGAATCGGATAAATATGAACCTCCACTCATCAAATGTCTGTCATTCTCATTTGAGGTTATTTGAAAGTTGAAGGTATGGTGATGAACAAATTCGGAATTTCCAGGTATGGAAAAAATAGCAAACACAGCCAACCCCATCCACTTCTTCTCTCTAAACAAATCTAGAGGAAGCTTCACTGCCACCCTGTCCTTGGGTTGCTGGATTCTAAACCAACTTACAGCTGGGCCTTGTGGGAAAAAGTAATATAAAGAATGATCTTTTTCTTCCTACAAAATACATATAATGTCATGAGTCTATAATCACAAATCAAACAAGAAAGACAATATATTTTCTGAGAAGACAAACCTCGTAAGTTCTTTGAAGGATTGATTTGAGGCTCCTCTTTAATAACGAAAGTGAGTCACTTTCATTCTCAACATATTGAGTTGAACAATATTGGTATATGGTCTCGGGCTCGTCGCAACTACACTTGCTCCCATGATTACATTCTCTAATAGTTGTGCTGAATTTATTCTGCTTCCGAGTGTGATACACCTTATTGAACATGTATGCCAAAAACCGTGAAGCATTTTGGTGGGAGAGGACAAAGGCACCACACTTTTGTACATTGACAACAGACGGCAAAGAACCCTTAACCACAATCTTGAAACACACTCTACATTCTGGAAGCATGTGCGATGGTATAAATGACATCCAAAATCTTGTTTTAGATGTCAACTTGGAGGTCAATGGTAAACTAAGAGTTTTAGGATTTCCTTCCATTTCCAACTCAACCAAGAATTTGCGATAAAATGTAATAACTTCATGGGGTGTGTTTTGAGAGCATTGAATACAAGCTGCAAGAACAACTCCATAAATACTGTTTGCATCATTTTTAATTTGATACTGATCAATTTCTATCACATTCCCTTCTCTTGTTTCGTCGAAGCATTCCAAGACTTCAGCCTTGTCATCAGTAGAATAAAACAAAGCTCCTTCCGAAATAGACTCCTGCAAAATTTAAGATCAATTAAATGTGATTCTTTAATCCAAAAGATATATTTATCATTGACACGTGAATGTTAATATTCAATACTATAGAATGATGGATAGAAAGCTACCTCGAAAGCCTTTAGATCCAACTTTAAGTTGGTTTTAGGGATGAACTCGAGGATAAAATGCTTGTCATGGTGATACGGTATAGGCAAATTTCTGATGGCTCCAGATTCAGTATAAGAGATTATGGGTTCTAGATGTGTTGGAAGCTGTGGTAATTGTTGCAACTTAAAGCAATCGTGCAACTTCAATTCTCTTAGATTCTTAAGGTGGTTGATACTTTCAGGGAGCCATACAAAATTATTACCACTGAGGTCTAGAGTTTTCAATGAGGAAAAGTAGTGAAGATCTTCGGGAATATCCTCATTCACTAGATTGCAGTCTTTTAGACTTAGAAATTCAAGTGACTCCAGACCAAACTTCAAACTAGGAATTCCCAAATCTGATCCTAGAATATTGTCTGGAGGGAGCAATGAACGCCAGATGCTGCATGATAGCCCATCACAATTTAATCCTTCAAGATTCTTCAAACAATGAATAGTAGGCGGTACACGACAAATTGAAGTTTTACCAATGTCAAGGAACTGCAAACATTGTGCATTTCCCAAGCTGGGCGGAATTTGATCAAGGTTTACACAACCACCCAAAAATAGAGCTTCAAGAGAATTCAAGTTACCAATTTCATCGGGAAGACTAGAAAGCATAATACAATTCCTTAGGTCCAAAAGAATCAGGCCAACTAGATGTTCGATTGATGAGTGAAGTTGTTTTATAGGAGTCTCATCTAGATGAAGTTTACGCAAGTGTTCCATATTGCCTTCAAATTCTGGAGAGCTTGTAACACCTGATTTGGAAAGAACTAGATGTTCGAGATTTTTGCATCCCAAATTTGTCGAAAAGCTTTTAAAACTTGAGCAGTTAGTTAGATCCAAAAGAATGAGATGATGGAGGCTATTGATGGAATGGTGAATGTGATACAATCTACTACAATTGCGTAGAACCAATCTTTCAAGTTTTGGAACTTCTGAAAAATCAGGGGTCTCAAGTAAATACTCCGAATTGCTAACATCGATCACCTTCAAGTTCTCAAACTCCTAGTGCAAAACAATGTTCCATCTATTAGTCAAACATAAACATATTAATACTTCACATTATTAAAGGTAGAGTTAATAGAGAATATACAAAATTCAACCTTTTTTCCATCCCAAATTCGTAGAATACCACTATGACGTAAGTGTAATTCATGTAGATACCCTGATTGAAAATTTGATGGCAAACACTTTGATGGATAGCCAGGCCAATTGAGAAGTCCCAATAAGTTTGAGAGAGATTTGATATTTCCAGAAAGTTGTACGTTGCTAATTTCCAATATTCTTAAACATGTCATATCTGCAAATAACTTGGCCTCCAATATTTAGTCTTTTTGCATCTTCTCCAAGTTCAAGACTATGCCTTCAGTGTATCTTAATCCCTGGCATTTGAAATGCACGTAGAAAATTTTTTAGAGATATTATAATAAAGAAGAAAGAAAGGGTATAAATACATGATGATGTTAATTACATGTTTTATAGTAAACGCACGAACAACATCTTCTTGAAGCCAAATCCTGCTTTGTTTACCCAATTGGGTTAGGGACTCCTTCCGCACAATTTCTTGACCCAAAGCGACTATCAAGTCATGCATCAGTATCTTCGAATGTGAATCTTCAATTAGACATTTTTCTATGAACAAGTGTAATTCACTGTGAGGATTATAACCAAAACTCTCAAGTATTTCAATCACTTTATCTAATCTTCTTCCATTGAAGAAACATGCCAAATCAAGAAAAACTTTCTGACTTTCTACTCCTAACCCATCATAACTTATCTTTAATACTTCAAACAAACGTTCTTCCTTAACTTTAATGAGCCTATTCAATGTTTCCTTCCATACTACCCCATTCTTTTTGTTCAAATAAGATCCAATTACTTTCAAAGCTAATGGAAGTCTCCAAGCCTTTCTACCATCTCCTTACTGAGATTCATGAAATTGTTATCAATGTGGGCGATTCCAAAGGCATGATTGCAGAAGAGTTGGAGGGCATTGTCATTATCCAATAACTTCACCTTGTGTTCTAGAATTTCATAGGGTTGATGGAGTACTTCTTTGTTTCTAGTTGTAATTATAATTCTACTCCCTGGACCAAACCAATCGGGACTTCTAGCTAGCATTTCTAGTTGCTCTTTTTCTTCAACCCCATCAAGAACAAGAAGAACCTTTCTACTACATAGTTGTTTCTCTATCATTTCCGCTCCATAATCCTCATCCCATATTCTTACGTTTTCTTTTAAGAAAAGTCTAGATAGTAATTGTTCTTGAAGTGACACTAAATTAATTTGTCTAGAACTACCGCCAAAAACTCGAAGAAAACAATTGCACTCAAATTTAGATTTGATGCAATCATAAACGACTTCAGCAATTTTTGTTTTACCGATGCCACCCATCCCAACTATCCCTATAAAGCGTACATCATCCAATCCTAATCCAAGTTGCATATTCATTTTTTTGTAACGAACACGTCATTCCAACTAAATTCTTGTCTGAAGTTACTATCTTAGGACGCCATCTTTCAAATATCTGCTCGGTGATTTTATTGATGATATCTACTTGAGAGCTGCATACCAAAAGGTAGATTACATTGAAGTTGATTGTCAATATATGGAGATTGAAGAAAAAACATGACATTTTATAGGTTAAATTATCAATATAGTCCCTAATCTTTTAGAATTGTGTTAAGTAGGTCCCTGAACTTTCAAGTTGACGGGTTAAATTTGTAATTTAACTATTTATTTTCTTTGCATTTATCTAGTATGACAAGTTTCATTTGACACATTACAACCAGATAACCTTTAAATAGTACAATGAAGAGAGGAAAAATGATTCTGTGCTCTCTGAACTTAAATATGATGATAACATCTTTAAAGATTGAGTTTATTTGTAAGAAAGGCGGTTTTCTTTTTGTCCATTTTGTCAGATGGGGATTTCCTTTTTCATGTTTACTTTTATATCTTTTTAGTTTCTCGTGGTTCTTTTTCCTTTTATTTTTTGCTCCCGCTTGGAATTTGTATCCTGGAGCAATTTGCTCTTTTTTTTCATATATCAGTGAAAATTTGTTTGAGTTCAAAAAAAAAATGATCTATTTGACACAAAATTGAAAGCTAGGACACAATTATGAAAGTTAGAGACTAAATTTGTAATTTAATACTTATTTTATAAGGTCAAGTTGTTGTATAGAGGATTCATTACACAATTGATAAAACTGAATTCATCCACAAGTTCAATATTTATGATCTCTAATTTTAAGACAACTACATGAGATTTACTTTACCTGTGTCTCGTAACAACTTCTCCCGCGAGGTTGCCAATTCTTGTCATGGATCCTTCCAATTTCGAACCTCCTTCCAGTATTCCTCTTTTTGCTGGCCTGTGAACTTTTGAGCCTTCTCTTCATGTTCATCAAAGCTTTTTCTGAAATTTCCAGACTGATGTCGAACATGGGAAGGATCCACATGGTAAAACACAGGAAGAACTCGATGTGTCGTATCAGACATACAATCCATTATCTTGGCTAACTCTTTCAAGCACCACTTGGAAGAAGCATAATCTTTCGATAGAACCACGATTGAAGACCTGGATTCTTCAATTGCTTTCACAAGCTTTTCACTAAGATCGTCCCCGATTAAGAGCTTCTTATCGTCCATAAAAGTCATTATTCCCAATTGACACAAGGCCTCGTACAAAAATCCGACGAAATTGTTGCGAGTGTCTTCTCCTCTGAAACTTATGAAAACATCATAAGTCATTCGAGGACGATTAGGAGGAGCTGTTGAGGGAACCTCCATGGTTGCAGAGAAAATCGAAAGTAAACGGAAATATTGGGGAAAAAGAACTCACGAAAAGGAAGTCATTGCCATTGTTTACTGGTTTTTCTTCACAACTGTTTCTACACCAAGTTTGAAATTTCACATTTGTATTATTGGTGTGGTGAGTGGTCCATTTTTAGAGAACTTTCAACTCACGAGGTTGGAAAAAAGGAAATTATTGGATAAGGATGAGGCGATAATCAATGTGGTAATTTGAGGGAAAAAAAAAAACAAACCAAAATTATACTCGAATTTTAAAAATAAAATACGGGGCAATGGCAATTTAGTTTAAAATAACAACCAAATTTTGTCGGCTCAACAATAATGGATATATATTTCAACTAATAAAGAGGTTCTGAGTTCCACCTCCACATGTTTGTATTTGAAAAAAATAAATTAAATCTAATTTAAATAAATAAATAATTCTAAGTGTTTAAAAGCTCACCAACATGTTTCAATCTCACTCATCAATCATTGATTTACCTTTGTTAAAATTAACGGTGGAAGAAAAAGTGGTATATTAGTGATAGGAGTCTATAATAATAGGCTTAAAAATATTATATTAGTGATAAAAGTAAAAAAAAATTAAAGATAAAATACATTTTTAGTTCATAAATCTAAGTATAGGTAGTCCCTAAATTTCAAAAAGTGACAATTTGGTTTCAGGTTTAAAAAATGATTCTAAATAAATATAATATATAATTATTTAATATGATAAAAAAAAATTTAAATAATCTTATATTATGTTTATGATATTTGTAATTTTTTTTATGGCCCCTCTTTGTCTTTCACTCGATATTTTAAATATTGAGTAATGTAACCTAGTTCAAGTTGAAAAGTGCAGGAATGAGGAAAAATGGGCAAATCCGGCATTTTATTCACCGGCCCTCAAAAGCATACACCGCAGGCACAGGGAAGCGTCGGAAAGTTCAATCAGAGGAAGAAGGCATCGACACAAGAGGGCAAAAAACCGGCAAGACAAGGGCGGTTACCGACAGCGGCGGTGGGGCTGTGATGGGTTTCAAGAAGATTTTAGTTCTGTACTCAAATTTGAGGGAGGGAGAGGAAGGCCCAAAAGACCAACGCCAACGCCCCTCCTCCGCCGCAGATTCGCCCGAAACTGGTGTGTTTCTTGATTACAACTACAATGATAATTTCCCTGTATTCCAATTTCCATTATTAGGGGCCGGAATTGTGGATATTAGAGAAGATGAAGGGGGGCGGGGTAGAGAAAAAAAGATAAAAAGAAAAAAATTACACATGATAAAAATAATATAAAATTATTTAATATTGACACGCCATTTAAAATTTGACGGCAACGTCATGTTAGTTGACTAGCAATCGAATAAGTTCAGGGATTATTAAACTGTAACTTTTTAAAATTTAGTAATCAAATAAACACTTATAAAATAAAATTTGTATTTATAAATTATTTTTATACCTGATGAGTTTATATTATAATAATAGATTTAAAATATTATATCACTGATAAAAGTAAACAAAAAATTAAAATATTTATATTTGCAGATCATTATATTTATATGTGATGCAAATATGGCATAATTTTACCACTTATTATAATTTAAAATTATTTGACTTTCCATTTTCAGGAACTAAAAAGTATGGATATATATATATATATATAATTTAAATATTTAATATTAATCTCATAAGTCAAAGGATTAATTAATTCCAAGTGTATTTTTTAAAAAGGAATAGAAAAACTAATTTTTAAAGTAAGTCACGTTGGAGCTTGTGTGTAGATACCACTTGTATCTAGAATATCTAATTTTCTAATTTATTATATTCATATCAATCTAATTCGAGGTTAACGATATGAATACTTCTAAGGCTTTGTCTCATAAACAAGATTTGTATGAAGAGTAACTAAAGTTTTGTACCTCGATTATGAGACTTTTATCTTTATTTATAGAGGGAGAAAACCTAAGATGTTCTAAATATATTTTTTCTTTTGAATTCTCAAAATTCAAGCGATGGAGTTGGATGTCTCGATTGGTCTTTAAAATGATCAAGAGAGTAGACTAGCGTAGGGCTTTGTATCACAAATATGGGACTATGGGAAACGACCTTTGGGCCTGGTTGTTCGGTCAAGGCTCAGCCCTATGTGTTCGTTGGCTCGAGTTTGTGGACCCATGATGGTCAACCCATAAGATTCAATCCAATGGCTAGTTTGCCCTGTTCGACCCCTAAGTTAGCATCCACATACTTGAGACTCTGGCCCGCACACACAATTTCTATGGCTTGTGTTTGAGGGCTCAGCTTTTAGATCATTTCTAAGCCCAAGGGCTTAAGTTGATCTAGGCTGGTATACTAGACTTTTTTGTAGTTTGTTTCGTAAATCGGACAATATAACTAATTATATCTAATATCAAGGATATCATTCACACTAAATGTATCATTAATATACTTCATTTTAATTATATCCATATGAGCGGTACAATCAACTTTTCTATTTTTTCATTAGGACCGAGTGTCCAATTTTTTTACAATATTTTCAAATTAGAAAAATAATTACTACATTTACAATTTACAATTAACTATTGAACTGTTATATATGTGTGCGTGTGAATTATTTAAATTTAAATTTAAAATATGTAATATTCACCCCATAAATCAAAAGAATAATTAATTATAATTATATATTTTAAAAAGAAATAGAAAAACTCTTTTTTAAGGTAAAGTCGTTGTAGCTTATGTAACCACTTGTATCTAAAATATCTAATTTTCTAATCTAAAAATATTTCTTATCAATCAAATTCGAGGTCAATAGTACGACTACTTCTAGGGCTTTGTCTCACAAATTATATTTGTCTAGTAATTAAGGTAATATTGTACTCCAATTATGAGACTTTTCTCTTTATTTATAGAGGACGAAAACTTAAGATCTTCTAGATATCTTTTTGTTTTGAATTCTCAAAATTGAAGTGACAAGAGTTGGATGTATCAACTACTCTTCAAGATGATCGAAAGAGCAAGCTAGTGCAGGGCTTTGTCTCACAAACATGGGACCATGGGGAACGACCTTTAGGACTTGGCCCACGGGCCATGACCATGGGCTCAGCCCCATGTGCTGGTTGGCTCGAATTTATGGGCCCATGATGGTCGACCCATAAGGTTCGGCCCAACGGTTAGTTTGCCCATCTCGACCCCTAGGTCAACTGTTGGGAATGACAAATGAATTGGAGAATTTTAAGGATACGTGGATGGATGAAAAATTGGTCGTTGAAGTTCTATTTTTGGGCCGCTGCATCAGTATAAATAAGGGTCATTCCTTACCATTTTCGATCATCCCATTCATTCAAGTTCTCCACCTCCACTCTCCCTTACACTATTCTTCAATTTTCACTTCTCTCCGCTACCTTAAACTAAGCACGAGATTGATTCAACTCTCATTCCGACGAGTGCATGTCTGAGTTGAAGGTTGTGTTAACCTTGGGGAGCATACCGGCAGTAAAACGATTTAGCACTGAGGTCATACCGATTTTGCTTTCAAGGTAGTGGTTCCACCCACGACACAAAAATTTTAGCTCCTGGTTCCAATTTTGTCCTTTTATTTCCAATAATTGAAAAGCAAAACTCATCTACCCATGGCTGCTATCCGATCTGGGAAGGTTTTGTCAGACTTGTCAAAATTGGAACCACTCGACGGATCCAACTACCGCCGATGGTCACAAAAGTTACTGATTTTCTTAGAGCAATTGGTGATCGACTACATCTCACTGCTGCTCAGCCCGCTGCCACTGCCACCGCTACAGCCACTACCACTATCGTTGCCGCCACTGTCGTTTCCATCACTGCAGCCGTCACTGATCCGCCTACCGTTGTCGCTGCCACCATTTCAGCTGTCGCTGCTGATCCCAAGACGTCTACTGCCACTACCGTCGAAACTGACAAATTCGAGAGAGACAACAAAATGGTCAGTGGGCATCTTCTCAACCATATGAATGACTCTTTTTTTTTTTATCTCTTTGTAGTCCAAAAATCTACAAAGGTCATTTGAGACACGTTAGAATCTAGATATGGTAGGGACGATGCAGGCAGGAGAAAGTACATCGTTGGTAAATTGCTGCAATTTCAAATTTAGGACGACAAAATGATGATGGATCAGGTTCATGAGTACGAGAATCTAGTGGCAAGTGTGCTGTCTGAAGGCACGAAGATGTGCGCGATTCTCCAGGCCAACTTGTTGCTCGAGAAATTTCCTTCTTCCTGGAATGATTACCGCAACCACTTGAAACATAAGAAGAAGGACCTGACTCTACAAGAACTTATCAGTCTCGTGCGCACGGAGGAAGCCAACAGGGTAAAGGATAAGCTCTCTTTTCAATCCCTAAGTTCAATTAAAGCTAATTTAGTTGAATATTCTAGTGCTTCGAAAGATAGGTTCAAAAACAAAGGGAAGCAAATTGCAAAGGATAGAGCTCAAAAGAACAAAGGTCTCCAACCAAAAAATACTAATGGAAGAATCAAGAAATCGAAACTGGTATGCTATGTCTGTGGAAAACCCGGGCACAAATCCTATAAGTGCACCCAGAAAAAAGATAGGAAAGATCAAAGGGCTACACCACAACCCAACCTTGTAAAGACGGACAACATCATTGCTGTCATGGTTGTGGAAGCAAATCCGGTATAGAACAAATCCGACTAGATTCTTGACACAGAAGTGTCCAGACATTTCTGCTTGAATTGTGACCTCTTCCACTACTTTCAAGACTCCGCTAATGGCAAATGTACTTTTATGAGGAACTCTGGCACAGCTAGAAAGAGAAGGTGTTCAACTTGAAACTCACATCTGGCAAAACTTTATAATTAAGTAATGTGTTGTATGTTCCTTCCCTGCATATGAATTTGGTGTCAGGAGGTCTGTTGAACTGAGCCGGACTTAAGATTGTGTTTCAGGTTGACAAGGTTATCATCACCAAAAATGGTGACTTTGTTGCTAAGAGCTATTTAGCAGATGGTTTGTTTGTTCTCCACACTATTTCAAATAAAATTAATTTTAGTTCTGTTTATATCATTGAGTCTCTTGATGTATGGCACGATAGATTAGGGCATGTGAA